GTCAGGGTTTCTCTTTATTACAGAGCCCTGGCTGTTCTGGACTGGCTTGTTTGACCTGAACTCACAGAGATCCACCTGCCTCTGCTCCCTGAGCGCTGGTATTAAAGGCATGCACCACCACACCCAGCTTGTTTTAACTTTTGCATTAAGAAAATTATCTTTTTTTTTTTTTTTTAATTTTCCAACTTGGTGGAGTACAGGGTTTTAAAGTATGTCCTCATGATTCTCTGAATTTCTTCAGTGTTTGTTCTTATATCCCCCTTTTCATTTCTAATTTGTTAATTGGATCATCTCTTGGCCCTTTAAGAAACTTGAATAAGGGTTTGTTAATCTTATTGGTTTTATCAAAGAATCAACTCCTTGTGTCATTGATTCTTTGTATTGTATTTTTTTTCTTTCTATTTTACTGATTTGTGCTCTGAGTTTGCTTTTATCTTGCCAACTACTCCTTTTGGGTGTGATTTCTTCTTTTTGTTCCAGAGGCTTCAGGTGTGCTGTTAAGTTACAAATATGAGATCTCTCTAATGTTTTGATGTAGGCATTTCGTGCTATGAACCTTTTAGAGCCATCTTCATTCATTGTGTCCCATAAATTTGGGCATCTTGTGTTTTCATTTTCTTTTAGTTCTAGAAAGTCTTTTATTCCTGTCTGGACCTACTTTTCATCCAATGGGAAGTTGTTTGTTCCCACGAATTTCTAAGCATTCTGTTGTTTCTGTTTCAAAATGGTGGTCCAGTTTCAAAATGGTGGTCAGATAGGATGAAGGGTGTTATTTCAATTTTCTTGTATCTGTTGAGACCTGCTTTGTGCTTGAGTATATGATCAACTTTAGAGAAAGTTCCTTGAGTTGCTGAGAAGAAGGTATATTCTTTTGTTTTGGGGCAAAGTGTGGACCGGCTAGGTCCATTTGGCTTATGAGCTCAGTTAACTCCAGCATTCCTCTGTTTAGTTTTTGTCTCGATGGCCTGTCTGTTGGTGAGAGTGTGTATTAAAGTCACCCATTCTCAGACGTAAGGGTCAATGTGTGATTTCAGACGTAGTGGTGTTTCTTTTATGAACTATGGTGCTCTTGAATTTGGTGTATGATATTAAGAATTGCAACATCCTCTTGGTTGATTTTTCCTTTCATAAGTATGTAGTCTCCTTCCATGTCTCTTCTGATTGGTTTTAGTTTCAAGTCTGGTTTGTTAGATATTAAAATGGCTATTTAAACACCACCAAGCCTGCTCTTTAGTTCCATTTGCTTGAAACATCTTTTTTTTAATCTTTTACTTTGATGTTATGTCTATCTGTGATGTTGAGGTGTGCTTTTTTGATGCAGCAGAAGGATGGGTCCTGTTTTTATATCCGTTTTGCTAGTTTGCATCTGTTTATTAGGGAATTGAAACCACCGATGCTGAGAGTTGTCAGTGAGCATGTTTTTTGATTCCTTTTAATTTGTTAGTGTGTGGATTTTTTCTCCCTTTCTTTTGATTTGCTGGTCTGATATTATTTATCCCTTGTGGTGTGTGTGTGTGTGTGTGTGTGTGTGTGTGTGTGTGTGTGTGTGTTCAGCCTCTTCAGGTTGAAATTTTCATTCTAGCACCTTCTTTAGGGCTGGGTTTGTAGATAGATACTGCCTAAATTTGATGTTTGTCATGAAACATTTTCTCCGTTCAGTGTAATTGAAAGTTTTTGCGAGGTTGGTGGATGGCAGAGGACAATAGAGGTGGGCTAGGCAAAGGGACGGAGAGGTACCCCGGGAGAGAGCTAACAGATTATCATCAGGGCTATAAGCAGAACCCCCAGGGAGCTGAGGTGTGGTGGGAAGAGGGTCTTCTGAAAATAGGTTTCAGTTGGGCAAATAATTGTTCAGAGAGACAGGGATAAAAGGGTTAGGGGGATCCTGGGTCTAACCCAAAAGCTGAAGACTCCAGTGAATAGAGTTAAGAAGGGAGGCGAGCCACCTGTCAAAAGATTGTTCCTGGGCTGAGGATGAGAATGGAGAGACAGTATGAAGGAGAGGAGAGACGGTGTGATTCTCCTACCTAAGTCCCTGTCAGGTGCGGCCAACAGATAGCCTAGGTAGAGAGCGTTCCTAGATATCAGTGGCACAATGGGATGAGGGGAGGGAGGAAAGCTGGCTTCACAGCGACGTTTTCTTATGTGTTTTAATGACCATGTTGTTCATTTCTTCCTGGTCCCATTACAGTGCTCATTCCTCTCCTCAGCCCCCCAATTCTTCCCTGTGGGTCTTCTTTCTTTCTTTCTTTCTTTCTTTCTTTCTTTCTTTCTTTCTTTCTTTCTTTCTTTC